AAAACGCAATGGTTTATACCTTAATCACACGTAAACCTTTCCGTTTCTTTTCATCTATCATTCAGTAGGATTTAAGCAAACAACCACAAAACAGAAACCATTCAGTCAGCTGACAGCGTCCACGTTCGATTGACAACGCACTTCATTTTGTGTATCCACGGCAAAAATTGACCAAGAATAAACAAACACAAAAACTAAATGACCCGACCACACAATCCAGTACGTTGGGATTCCCCTCAGTCACGGTTGCACCCTCCTCGCCCAATTCCGGAAAACCGGTGCCAATTTCTGGTGAACGGGTAGAACTCAGTTCAACTGGACTGAGTTTGTTTCGCAGCTTATTCTGTCTAGATATCGCCACTAAGAGGTCCGGTGTGTATGGATATCAGCAAGTCAAAAAAGATAGATGAACGAACAGATTAGCAGAATGATGAATCAAAGAATGAATAAACAAGTGACTGATATTCACATACATACGCGCACACCCATACTCAGCGAGAGAAGCGCACCAGTGCCATTTAATATGCCACTGATGTGATGATACCCATCTGTCCGAGGTCACACGTGTGAACAATCGATCACTGTCTTGTTAATTCAATTGCCTGAGGCGTACTGATTTCAGCGGACTGAAAAGGGTATCTCCCTCTCTCTCCCTCTTCGTGCGTGTGTGTCGCATTTTCCTAGGAGACTGTGGCGCGTTGCGCATTGCACGTTTGAGCAGTTAGTCACTTACGTCCTTGTTGACAAGTTGAGTAATTAAACTTATTTGTGAATTGTAAATCGGAACCCATAAGCAACGCCCTGAACTCTCACGTAAGCCACAATTATTGGCGCTGATGGCGTTTAGAGTGAGGCGGTCAAACTGCAGTACAGTTAAATGGCACCAACTTGCCAGAGATAGAAAGCAATCATACGAGTCAGTTTCTACTGTTCTTGTGGTGGTGTAGAGTGTGCACTACACTGCCCTCTGGGATTAATGGTGGCTACCAGTGATTCTGAACATGCCCTCACGGAACAGTTGTTGAACTTATTTGGTCCCTTTTTGATAACTATTATCATGCGTGAGTTTGTCATTTGTGATTTGTGCTTATTGTCGTAGTGGTATTGGTGGTACTCTTTAAACTCCTTAATTCACTGTAACCCCAGGGTCCGAGGTTCGGAGCCTGTCACGGTCGTCTGACTTAGTTTGTAGTCAGCTTCGATTTCGTTCAGCTTAACACTACGCGTAACCTCGTGAGGCTTTATATGGCCCGCGACTCCAAGTACCGGAATTTAGGTTACTGGTTTCTAGGTCCCCATGACTATGGGGCTTACCTCGTCTACTTTACATCACACAAAATATGTGTAGTATGAAAAGAACCATACACAACGCAAAGATATATCAGATGAAACCCACTTATCCTAGAATATATAACTCTGTTCTGGCAGCAACCTCAATTACTTTTGAATGGCTTTGGATGTTTCAAATCGGTCAGAGCCTCCGAAATCCAGCTTGCGTTCCCAGCAAACCAAAGAGATTTCCGCAATCTGACAGAAGCCGTATTATCTTCCCATATCGATACACTCTTTTCGGATATCTATTTCCCTTGCATCTTGGACCATTATGCTTATGCCCATAATCTGTAGCTGAAACCTTGCTGCATCCGTCCACGTGAGATAACCCGATTTTCCCCATACCGGTGACACCAACTAGAGATTGGTCTTTCGATGGTAGTCGACAGTGTAGTCCTAGTGAACGTTTCAAATCGCAAGATGCCGACTGCTATTTTTAGGATATTGGGGTTACAAGGCGATTCCCCCGTTGTAGCTCCGTGCATATCACAGAACGTCGACCATTGCGAGAGAGGCGGTAACACGTACTGCCGTATGTGACCGGAAATCAGTTCGTCATTTCGTTATTCTTGGGAGTTGTGAGCACAGCTCTTCTCCGTTAGAAAGACTTGTGACTGAACTGTTCTGGTTGGAGTGGGGTTCTCATTTTTACGAAAACTATTATGAGTATGGTACTGGCTTATCAGCATTATCTTAATTGGCTAATATTCTTTCAGTGTGCTATTTCACTCTAGTCCAATCAGAAACCTTTTCTACCCGAAGGCAAATCTTCACTCATTCGGAAACTATAGTATATGGAACAATGAGAAAAGGTCAACCAAATAACCCAATTTTGTATGGAACTGATTTGTCCTAGACTAAACAATGCTACATTTCGATGACACACTAGTCAAAATATCCATCCAATTGCAACTATTGCTATTCCAGTGGTATCGTATTTATCATATTGATGAACGCTGATAAGGGATATATGGAAACTTTGAATTGTGATTCCGAAGTCGCCTACCAGCGCAAAGGGTGGTGCTCGTTGTCAACTTTCACCGGTTCTGACCGTTGAACCCTGTCCTCATTGCAGTTCACATTAATGGTGACATGATTTGCTTTTTATCCAGCTAAAATTACACATCTATCCGCAGGAATAAGCGAAATCATTTGAGGAGTGCTACAGTTTTCATGGTTCATATTTGCGATTGATGGTTCACTCAAAAAACCATCTCTTCTGTTGTTAAACATACTGAACTTTGTCCAACGTGCTCATAACGCTCCCGCGATTAGAAGTATTGAATACATCTAGAATAAAAATGCTGCAAGTACGGAACAGTTGTATTCATCTTCAAGGTAGAAATTATGCGCGAAGGGAGTCTGCTCTTGAGGTTGAATGTACTCGTCGGGAACTTCGAATGAAATGCCATCTCCACTAACAGACAACTTTAGGATATAATGTCCATCGACCTAAAGAAAGCCTTTCATTCTTCAAACAAATCTGAGTCATATATGAGGTATCCAACTGACAACTGATAGCTTTCCGAGGGTCAAGTGACTTTAACACCCAGTTTTAATTTGCTTCATAGACTTTTTGTTTATCTGGAAAGGATCAGTGGAGGATAGGATAGTGCTGGTGGTAAGCAGCTCTGCTGTCGTCCGGTTCAGTACCAGACCTGAAATTGATGACTGTGAGGTCCTCAGTTCGAATTCCGCCATCCATCCATCCATTCACCCAATCCCGCCCTCCATTGTCCCGACCAGCAGCCTCTTTCCTGAAAGTTTGCGGTGTATTAGTATGTCCAATAAGCAAAAAGGAAGCAAAAACATTTATTTATTATTATGTGAGGTATCAATGTTAATACAGGAGCCTCATTTGGTGCTGAACAACCTAATACACTGGTTATCGGTGTAAGTTCAATTGGATTCTGTAGCACTTGAGACGATAGTGCCAATATGTTGCGGAGACCTGGCCAATGTTTGACCGAATGTGTTGCCGAAAACCAGTACACAAAAGCCAGAAGTAAACGCTAGAAGGACAATGAATAGTTAAATTAATCAACGAGTTCACAGAAAACCTGTCATTTGAGTCGGAATGGGGTGAATTATTGATTTTCTCGGCAAATTAGGATGCTTTGGCTTTAATATATCCAGTTTGATGTTGTTTCAGGGCCCCTTTAATCACAACACTCTCAATGTTATGAATAGAAGTACGAGAGATAGAAAAAACGTGAAATGAAACAGGAAAAGCACACAAAGCTGAATTCAGTACGGTACTGACATATTGGTCGTCTCTTCCGTTTTCTATCTCAATAGGAAACGTAAGAGACGACCGTGCTGTTTCATTGTCAGTTCGCTCGGCATGAAAGTTCCATCATTAGTACGATAATCACAGTATTTCTGACCAAATTTATCTGGATTATTCGGGAAGTCGGTAGCTAGCTTGCTCCTGCTCTTAGCGGTACAATATGCTCGTCAGTTGTGAGTGAGCATTAGGGCCTATGCAGCGGTGTGCAGTTATGAAGGAGAACTGATCGGTGCGAGAGTATTTGCATTTCGTTTCACTGATCACGTTGATCGATCATCAAAGTGATTATCCCGCTCTATATCACAAAAACCGCCATGGATGACTACTCTCGGAAACAGCTGACACGAGAAGTTTTCACTCCAGAAGAAAGACGTGAGTTTTACTGTAAAATGCGTCCCATTTAAAAAAAAAACTTTGGTAGCATAAACTCCTATCAAATCACCAAATCCACGAACACATCATGAGTGGAATGAATATAGATGAATACACTCTCGGACTAGATATCAGCATCAACGAACTACTTTCTCCTTTCGGTCACGTCCATGTGTATGTAGCGCTGCTTTCCATCTTGCACAGCGCACAATTGGCTCTTTACCGTCCACAAACACAACACAGCCAAACGGTCACTTGGTCACATCTGAATCTACCTTCAACCTTCATATTCAAAATAAATGATTGTCAGTTTGTTGCCGCGATGATCAAGAACTTCCAATATTGTCCTGGTGATTAACCCAGTTACCACAAAATCTTGATTGTGTCGAAATTCGAATGGTCTGAAGAGTTGTGATTGCTAGTCCTTGTCGGGATGAGACAAATGACATAGACAGTCATAGGTTGTTTTATCACTGAAAAAGATCTATGAATGCATAGAAGGTGACATGCTTGATGCATTTCGGCCTACTTTGGAGAGAAACCCACAAAGCCTATTCTCGGAAAAGTCAAGGAAGCTAAAAAATGGTGCTATGAAAATCAGAAAGGTTACTTAGTCCCCCCCCCCCAATGGACATTTCGTGTTACAGTGCCCAATCGGAAATCAGTTTATTTTTGGGATTGGTGACGTTACTCTCCTATCTGTAACCTGTTTTGATTCGTAACCCCTTCTTCAGTTCTAACTTGGAGTTTATTCCTTTTTTCCCCTGTAAAGAAACCATTCAACTATTCACAAATGTGTCTATCAACCAGGCTACTGCCCAACGCACGCATACACACACACACACACATACACACACACACACACACATCAGTTCACTTGTAAACAGGACCGATTTCTTAACTCGGTCATTTGAACTGGTCCGTTTTCAATTCGGCTCGAGAATGTAAGTGTGGTTTGCTTGATCCGACCGTCTTGGTTACACAAGTCGCAACTACTCGGGTAGATATGCAGGTAGGCTTGGTAGGTAGGCATATAGGTGAGTATGCATACACTCATTCGTCTGTGTACGCGTACGAGTGTGTACGCAGGCATCTGTCAGGAAACAAGAACATGTCAACTTCCGTTTCTTGTTCAGTTTTGAGGGTAAGAAACCGAATTGTTTCGTGATTTTATTTCTGAATCACAGCCGCCACCACCACTAACATACCTGTACGGGTGACCGAATATGGTCGTACCCTACCGATTCATTACACGCCACTAATTCACATCTGGGATCACCACCACTACATAATTCCTAGGTCCATCCCACCATCCATTCCTCCTTGAAACATTTGCATCAACTTCCTACCCGCATTCTTTCATTCTGTCTTTTAGGTTCGTTAAATCGACACAAGAATACACATTTGAAGCGAAGCAACGACAATCGGAGCTACTCGTGTCACTATTGTCCTCGCCAGTTTCTACATTCGAGTCAGTTGCAAGAACATGAGACTAATGAACACAGTGCAGAGCCCAATTTACGCAAATCCACCCCCACCGATTCAGCTCGTAGTGCTTATGAGGGCAGTGGAAAGGGAACTCGTTCGTCGACGTCGGTAGACCTTCAAGCACCAACGGAACTAACCGGGACGCAGCTAAATTCCTTACCCGGTGGTGTGACTATACCATCAATTCCGGGGCACCCAACTCAGTCACCTGTGCAGCCACCAGCTCACTTCGGGGACAATGGTGTAACCAGTCCGTCGACACCGTTGCGCACGTTCGCAGCTCGTTTAAGCTTGCTACAACGTGCATTTGCCGGCCCGGATGCATTGAATAAAACACACCCAGGTTCTGGAACGGATATGTCGATCGAGTCGCGTGATATCAAGTCAAATGGTATTCAGAATGTCCCACTTGTCAGCAGTATCCATTCCGGTTCGATCAATTCAAACAATACTGCCTTAATGAATACGAATGGATCCCCGTTCGATTCGCTCAATTTCGCACAAAATCAATGCGATCTGTGCCCAGCGAAATTTTCAAATCGTATGGAATTTGAACATCACTTGGGACAACATTTTAGTCAATCGTTCGGTAAGTTGTTCAAATGTGTAGTTGTTAACTTGTTTTCCATGCTTTGTCTGCTTCTGGTTTTTACGACAGAGGCCCTTTGTATGTCTCTCTCTCTCTTTCGCGCTCGCTCTCTGCTTCGTTGTTTGTGTATTGGAGGTTAGAGAAATGAAAACAACGTCGAATGACTATAGTTTGTATCGGTCTTGTCGTTATCGACACGTCGGGTAGCATTCATACAAGATGTACAGTTGCTCAAAGATGCATACGGTACATGCATTCACTCACCCAGTCAGTCATTTCCTCGGTCCGCCAGTCGCTCACGGTACTTAGTTGGCCTTCAGCCGGGTTGTTTGACATCTTGCTTGCTTGTGAGTTTTTGTCGGGTGGTGGGAGGATACGTTTTTGAGTACAGAGCAACAGAATTGGTTCTGTGCCCAGTAAAATGTGCCGTTTCGCACAGTGAGCTGTGTTGTTCACATCGTGTTTTTCTGATTGTAAACCGTACCTATCAGTATCGGACAATCTGCATCGGTGAGTAGAGTAAGGTCGACGATGTTGCCACTGCATCGTCTTCCGACTCGTCTTCTCTCTGTTCCCATTCTAGACCACCCATTCGTCTTTAGTAGTCGGCAGGAGAACATCACGATCTCTTCCACACCAACTTTGCCAGCATTTTTGCTAATCGACGTGGGAATCCGGGATGACTGGAGATCTTTGGTACGTAGTCACTATCTCCTCCCTTCTATCCACCCTAGCTAGCTAACCAGCTCGTTATCTCGATGAATGAGTAAGTTAATGTTGCAGTGCTCTCTACAAAGTGATGATGTGTATAAGCATATGCAAGTATGGGAGAAGAGGAAGGGGCGGGGATAGAAGAAACGAACGAACGAATTGTTTGGAACCTAATAGCTATCTATCGTCAGACATTGTTTTAATGCGTTCACTATAACAAACTTTGATACTCCGTAGCTGGTGATCGTTCACTAGCCTGTATTTCAGACACTCTAGATTAACAATTTAGTATTTTATTTTGTATAAGCTTCAAAATTGTTTTCGATTTATTTCTATTGGACGCGGTAGTTACAGAGCAATAATTTAAGTAACTGAGTGAGTGAGTGAATAAATGAGGGAGATGATCAAGTCCAGTCAGGTCAAGTCAATGTAAGCTTTATGTACACAATGGGTGAAGTTTTAGCGATTTTTCACGATAATTCAGTGACATTGGAGGGATGGCATCAGAGTGTGAATAGGTTAAACAAAAAAGACAGCAAACTGGAAGCAGGAAGACGATAGTGATACATTAAAATGAATAAATAAACTAATTCATGAGGTGTTCAATTAAACCTGTAATAATTGGTGCCCGATTTACTAAAAAGCAAGCAAGAAAAAGGAGGATGCTGTTCCTGTATGTGACGGTAGGTGCGGATAGGAGCCTACAAAAGGAGCGGGTACGGAAGTTTCACGTGGATTTAATAATAATGGTGTGTTTGGCAGTCTCAATAACCCATCATAATAACGGAATGCATACTGGACCAAGTGGAATCAAATCGTCACTCGTCACTCGTAAATTCTGTTTAGGTTCTAATGCAAGTTGAAATCCGAACCCCACCAAAAACCACTTTTTGAATCCGTCTCACTCTATTGACGAAGCTGTTAGTTAGATCCTACCCATCAGACCTTGCTACACTATGAACGAAAGATCATTATTCTTATGTCAATTTTTGTCTTACTGCAACTTGCACTTCAACTGATACAGATAATTTCTTATCCGCCTATGATTCTGTTACTTACTGACCATATATTAATGATCACATAAACTGCAGTATGCACGTGTACAGATGCAGTGAAATGATCCAGAACACACTGGGCAAACCTGTTTTTGGCTTCTTTATTCAAATTCGTTATGGGGAAACTATGCTTCCAATTTCATATCTGCTTTTTTCATCATTTATTTAGTAACCATGTACTGTTTTCTCCACCGAAAACATTTTCATTTGATCTATAGTGGATTAACCTAACTTTTACCATAATATGTGGATAAACATATCTCCTTTTCCAATCAACATTCAAACATAACAGGTTTTCGTGGGCAATAAATTGTATGAATGAAAATTCCGCCGGGAGTTTTCCATATAATTTGTAACTACATGTTGATTGTACTACCATGCCATGCAGATCAAAGTATGTCTTTTCTCCTATCCCAAACTTGACTACAGTTTGTGCATTCTCACTTTCTCCTCCTCTTAAATTTTTTAATACACACATTTGTGGGATGAACACCGGACGGGGCGAACCCGAATGCCTGGTTCTCCGTCATGGAAACCGGTAACTCAAACCCTGAGACTTGGATTGGTGAACCACATAAGGCCCCGCGAGGTTAGGTGTGTAATAGAACTGGGCGACAGTAAAGCTGGCAGTGGCGGGGCTCGAACCTCAGACCATATGGTCCAAAGCACGCCAGTGACTGCAACTAAACCACTGCGCATCACCACGTGTTTCTCAATTCGTCCTAATTATATTTTTTTCCTAACCGGTTTGGTGTCACGAAAAACGTTGTTTCCATTATCGTTTTTTCACCAGCAGGTAGCAAGATTAAGTGAAGAACAGAACCTTATTTACAATCTTGTTCTAGTGCCAAAAGTATCTGAGTATGTTACCAACACCATTTATCCATCAGTTACTTTTGTTTTAAAACAGTACTATTGAAGGCCTCTTACCACTCGCCTATACATTGGCACTGTTGCGCCTAGTTGAAGTCCTGGTGCCTGTCGGAAACTTTCGCTATTCTGGTACAACCAAAAAAGCTATTGGTATTTCCATTTAGCTTTTACATAGGAAGCCATCAGTCGCCTAAAGTAAAAACTAATCCGCGAGTGTTCGATAGTACCCAGACTCCCTGAGTGAGGCAGTATGCTACACGCGTGCTGGCATTGTTTCTATACCGGTTGTCATGTAATTCAGTGTATGGTACTGATTGATACGTACATGTTCAACTCTTGTTCTATACCAGAATTCCGAATGTTGTCACGCCTGTGGACAGTGTCGAATTCACACCGAATTCCGTAGGGGGTCTGCAAATCATTCCAGTTAAGAAAACAGTAGCATTGTATGTCATCTTGATCACTTATGTTGCGCGTCTGAATACGTTTTTTGTCTAGATCGACTGTGGCTGTTTTATTGGTACCGAAGACCAGACTATAACCTGGTAAAATGTGTACTGCTTCGTGCGAATTTTACAGGCCTTCTTGACAAGATCAGGATGATTTGAGCTATTCAATGATATAGATGGTTGTAGGTAGCTTTGCTGTCATCCGGTTCAATACCACGCCTAACCCAGTGGGGCCTGATGTGGCTTAGGTTGCCATCAATTCCCATCAATAAAAGGCAGGCCTTCGTGAATATGGGATCCACCCTGTATGCTGTTAAGCATACAAAAATGTTTGTAATTAAATAAAGTTGTAACGCCCGCTTATATATTCGATTTTTTCTCTTAGATTCAATATCTTTCCTTTTAGTGAAACAAATGCTTAAATAGAATAAACATTTTTTCTGTTAATTTGCCAGTAGTAGTTATATTTCATATGATTATTCTTTTTTCTTCCTTTTCCAACACTAGGTTTTTCCCTACCACCGGGTTTTCCGGCGGTTTCCCTAGATGGTTCTTCTAGTGTTCGTCAGCCGCTGAAACAAGCAGCAATGAATAGCAATGGAGATTTGCTCGGCGCAGCTATTTCACTCTCATCCAAACTACCCACTTCAGTCAACTCCACAGAGCTTACCTACAACCCCTTGTCGAACCTAAACGATGTATTTGATCCATCTCACTCGATCTCCCCACTGGCCACGACGACAAGCAGTGGAACAACCCCTACGAACCCCCTGTTCCCTGGTGCAGTTTCGGCTGCCGCATTAGCCGCGCTTAGTCAATTGATGCTTACACACTCAACCGCTTCGGGACAATCAAATATCCTGTCCCAGAGTAATCCGGCCAATTTGTTGGCCGCGACCGCCGCTTTGACTAATCCGGAACTTCTCCTCCTGTCCGATCCTACTACAATGTCATCTTCGGCTGGTCCAACCGGTTCGTTTGCTCACATGTTGCTCAAAGCTATGAGTTCGATTAATCCCCACCAAGCAGCTTCAGTTGTAGCTACTGCTGCTGCCGCTGCTGCTGCCGCATCTGCTGCAGGGGCGACGACACCATCGCAACCACCACCTCTACCACCACAAACGCAACAACCGCCTATATCTTCACATAATAATCCCTTAGCTCCTCTATTTCACAACGGCACGGACCTTTCGGGTGGTATTGAACTGACTCAGGGGTTAAATCTGGCTGT